TTTTTTTTTTTTACAGAGAGGAAGGGAAAGGGATAGAGAGAAACATCGATGAGAGAGAAACATCCATCAGCTGCCTCCTGCACGCCCCCCCCCCCCACTGGGTATGTGCCTGCAACCAAGGTACAAGCCCTTGACCAGAATCGAACCTGGGACCCTTGAGTCCGCAGGCCGCCGCTCTATCCACTGAGCCAAACCAGGTAGGGCTCCGTGCTCTTATTCTGAATATGAACGAGCGCGGTTACTGTTTAGAACTGGAAAAGAAAGAGAGGCACTTTGAAAGGTTGTTTTTCTAGGGGCTCTTTGCTGGGAAGACCATCCTCAGGACCAAAGATGAAACACGAAGTCCACTGCCACGTGGTTCTTCTCACTCCTCAAATCCCCTAAGGCCGCCCGCCAGCCTTCCCTGGGACAACTTGGCGGGCGCCTACCCTGGGCAACAGCTTTCCCCACCCTGGTCCGCGGAGCTGGCCGCACTTAGTGGGTGCTGTTCGGAGCTCGGGGCTGCGCGCTGGGCCCGGACTCCAGCCTGCGTTGGGGACTGCAGTCGGGTCGCCGCGGAGTGCTGAGCCCGCCCTTCTTCCTGTTCCCAGGAGGCGGAAGACGGCTTCTTTCCCTTCGAAGCTTTTTTTCCTGTCCCTTGTGCCTTCTCTCGGTTCTCGCTCCACCCTCCACCTACTCTCCCCCAAATTTATTCTTCAACTTTGGGTGAACTTGGCCAGCATCCCGCGTCTCCGATAGGGTTGCCTAGTAACTGGTGCACACACACCAGCCTGCACCAGGCGGGGAGGTGGGGCGGGGGGAGTGAACTGGCCGCTCCCGGCCCTAGGAGCCCGCGGATTGGGCGCGCATTACCTCACATACCACCCCTACCCCCTCACCCCGGTGCTCCGGCGATCCTGATACCGACTGGCCCCCAAACTCATCTCCATCCTCCCTCCCCTCCGCTCCTGGGCCCGGGGCTGACGTCAAGGGAAGGAGGTAGTGAGGTAATGAAGGAAGGAAAAGCATCTGCCCTGGGAGATTGGGTGGGGGGAATGGCCGCGCCTGGGGGACCTTCAGTCCCACAGGTGGAGGAGGGGAAGGAGTCTTGGCTCCCCACCCCGCAGTGGCGCCTCCGAAAGGCCATGAAATTGAGCCCGGTACTGGTCTGATTCTACTGCCCCGGGGAAGTAGGGCCCGAGCCCTTCCCACTTATGTACGCCTGAGCTGCGCCTGCTTTGGAAACTTTTTCTTTTGATTGGAAAATTCAGCTTATCTAATAGAATCTTGGATTTGAGATCACTTTTTTTCTTTTTCCTCCTCTCCCTTCCCCCCCCCCACCCCCTCTCTTCACAGACAGAGATAGAAAGGTCACAACTCATCACCCTCCTTTTCTCCCTTCCTAGCTGGAACCCAGCTCTGTTCTTCAGCACTGCAGGCCCAGTGTTCTGCTCCAAGCCCAGCATCTCTGCCTCCACTCCCTGGGTCTGGTCACTGGAATGGATGCAGAATTCCCAACCATTCTCTATTGTGATCCTCCTCCCTTAGCAAAACTGGAGTGGAAGTGCCCTCCCCCTCCTTCTTGAGGAGCTGCTTCTGGCCATTGCCAGAGTGACATTGCTATTGTTCTAGTAGCCTTTGGGGGAGCAATTGGAATGGCTCCCATTGGCCTGCTCTTCTCTCCTTGATCCCTGCTTGGTGCCTCACCCCAGGTGGAGAGGAAGACTTTGATGCCTGAGTGGGTGCTGTTTAGATGGGCCAGGATACCACCTGGGAGATGGGAGTTGAGAGGCCATTAGAGTCTGGTTCAGTGGTGACACACAGCTCACACACATTTCTTTCTTTTTAAAAATTTTTTATTTATTGATTTTTAGAGACAGACAGACAAAAACATCAATTTGTTTTTCCACTTATTTATGCATTCACTGGTTGATTCTTGTATGTGCCCTGACCAGTGATCAAACCCACAACCTTGGTGCTTCGGGACAATTCTCCAACCAACTGAGCTACCCGGCCAGGGCCTTGCTCACATTTCTTATTCTCCTTTCTCTTAAGTATAAACCCACCTTGTGGGACAATAGGAAGGGGCCCATCAAAGGGACTGAGCCACCCGAGGGACTGAGCCACCCAGAAAGAAAAGGAGTCAGGGATAAAGTGATCACACTCACTTGAATAGCAGTTCTCCAAACTGAGTCCCTGGGGGTGGATTTTGACTTAGGGCTAAATTTGTGATTACTATAGACCTAGGAAAAGTCACTTGAATTGCATTTTATACATAAAATTTTCACATTTTTGAGACCCAGTTTGTAATTGGCCACTCTATAAAGCAATTTTGTCAGGTTCATCTTTGGGAAATATCTGCGTATCCCTTTTTTTTCTTCCTACATAATTACAGCGCTTTGCTTCTCATTTTTAAGCGAATGTCACAAAAATACCATTTTCTCCCATTACAGAAAATTTCCTAAGCAGTAACATCTCCTAAAAAAGAATTTGTGACCCCAGTAGGAAAAGAGCTTGCTCCCTTGAAGTTTGTACTATCTGAGTCTTTGAGGCTCCATCCACCCTAAAGTCACTATTTTTCTAATCACTTTCAAAGATCAGGTACTTCAAGCTGAAGTGCATGTAATCATATACCCTGTTACAGTAGCTGTGTAAACAGGTATTTCACGGTGTCCTCAGTACCTCATTTCCATCCACCTATGTTGATCAAGGGACTCTCCAGGTATTGAAGTACTAAATCAGATGATAATTAGGTATCATGAAAAGAAGCCTTCGAGGTTTAGCATTGCCTAATTGATATAAGTAAGCACTTAATAAATGTCAAATAGTTATTGATAGTGTTCTTATTACTGCAACTGAGGCTGTACCTTCTTTTGGCTCTTCTTGAAAGAGTTGAGGTCTTTCTCCTTGGGCTGTCACCAGCTGGGGAGCACTGTGTTTCCTTAGTGTAACTTTTCACAGAAACACCCTGGTGGTGCCTCTTGTAGCTTATCTTTATTTTTCCTCAATTCTCTGGATGGATGGCTTGGGAAGAGAGAGCTGTATAGGCATCTTACATGTCACTTAAACAAATTGCTTTAAAAAACTATCTGGAGTAATGATATCCGATATGTCAAGACTAACTATGGAGAAATGTCTATCAGTGTTTTATAAGCTTCATCAGACAAAATAAGCTGGATTTGTTTTGCCTAATTGAAAAAAAAATGATCAGGTGCTTCCCTGTCAGTAATGATGAATGGACAGGTGTAGGGTTATTTTAAAATTGGGTCTGTGCATCGACATCACTGCAGCTATGTCATTTTTTTCTTTTCTACTCCTTAAAAAAGTTTGAAGGGGTATTTAAATGCCTTTGGGAACACAGTGTGTGAAAAAGCATGAGAAATAGGACTAAACTTGAATCACTTACTAACTTAACTTTTGGATTTTTGATATTCAGTGGTGCTTTTCTGTCTAAAACTGGGACCTCCTGGGAAAGGCTTGTCCTATTTTGTTTGCTTCATTGCACTTGACCCTTTGAGGCAGCCTGCCCAGCTTCTTCCCCACCCCTCTTCCCAAAGTTTTGTCTCCCCACTATTGGATTCAGTCTCCCTTCCCAGCATGAAGTAAAGGTAGTGGCACATATACGGCCATTAAATAAGCAGCAGCGCACAATGTGAATTTCTTTGAGGAAATTCTCAGAATTCTGTACTTTACAACAAGGGAAACATTGTAAGTTCTCTTCTCTCTCCCAGGTAAAACATACCTGAGGAGTTACAGCTATACACATTCGTGTGTAGGTGCAAACAGTAGTGAGTAGAAAATGCCCTCAATCAACTTATGGAAAGTGATTAGGAGATGGTTTCCCCTTCCTCCTTGCCCACTCCCCCAAGTTGAAGATGGGTAGAGTTTTGTCTAAAGGCCACGAAGGCTTATGAAACTAGATTTCAGCCCTTGGGGAAGCCAATAATCATAGCTAGGTGAAAGCGCGAGTCCCTGTAACATAGTAACTAGGATTTATTACTGCATGCTGACTCGGTACTGCTGGGCATTGTGCTAAGTGCTTCACTCAGTTCACTCATTTAATTCTTCTGATTATTCTATGAGGTAGGTACTAGGGAGGAAATAGACTTAGAGACTAGAAGTAACTTGCCCAGGGTCACATAGTGAGTGAGAATCAGAACCAGGATTCGATCCTCAGTGTCTCTGACTTCAAAGCCCATCTGAGCTCTGCATCACCGAGGGATACCAGGCCACTCCACCTGGAATATTCCCCTTATAAAGTCCATGCTTTTGCTAATAAATAGTAATAGCAAGTGCTTATATACACTTACTTCATCCAGGCACCATTCTAAGCACTTTACAACTATTGACTTACCTAATCACATGAGAACTCTTTGAGTTATCATCCCTTTGAAATTATCACCCCCATTCCACAGAGGAAGAAACAGGTCCTGGGCGATGAATTTGCCCAGTAGGACACAGTAAGGGACAGAGCTGGTGTTCAAATTCAGGTAGGGAGGCTTCTGAATCCATGCTCCTACCCACTGCACCCGCCCTGCTGCCTCTCCTGATACGTAAGTGCCATTCCTGCTCCAAAGTGGCATCTGCCCTGGGTCTCGCTAGACTCTTGGGGGTCAAACGACCCTTTCACAGGGGTCGCCTAAGACCATCGGAAAACACATATATAATTACATATTGTTTTTGTGATTAATCACTATGCTTTAGTTATGTTCAATTTGTAACAATGAAATTGGGGGTCATCACAACATGAGGAACTGTATTAAAGGGTCGCGGCATTAGGAAGGTTGAGAACAACTGCACTAGAGGAAGGACTTTATTTCCCACAGTTGTGAAAGAAACCATTATCCACTAGTTTTACCCATAGCTTCCAATAGTAAGCACTTAGTGGACTGAGGACAATACTTTCCCCTGGTGAGCATTATTGGAGCCAACTTGAACTCTCTCCTTAAGTCCTAACAAAGCAGCTCTGTCTTTCAAACTGCAGACTCCTCTAACTTTGCCTTTACCACTGGACGTGAACTGTTGGTGAAGTTCCATTTCAAACACCTAAGAAATCAGGGTAGAGACCTTCCTCCCCGTCCATCACCCAGGAGGAATGTCTGCTTCCAGGGCCACCAGCTTTCTGCTTGCTCAGAGGCACAGTCTCAGGGAATGTTGGACCCCATGTTCCCCTGAGGGGACAGAATAGTAAAGTCCACCCTCATTGAGTATAATATAATGTTCCCTGTGATTTCTATCTAGAGCAGTGGTTCTCAACCTTCCTAATGCCGCGACCCTTTAATACAATTCCTCATGTTGTGGTGACCCCCCATTTCATTGTTACAAATTGAACATAATTAAAGCATAGTGATTAATCACAAAACAATATGTAATTATATATGTGTTTTCCGATGGTCTTAGGCGACCCCTGTGAAAGGGTCGTTCGACCCCTACAGGGGTGTCGACCCACAGGTTGAGAACCGCTGATCTAGAGCATACAGCTAGCTGGACCTTCCTTGCCCATTCCTCTTGAGTCCTCTTCCACAAGTCCCGTCTGGTTGCTGACCTCCTTGGAACCCCAAGCCCCTACTGTGCCCATTGCTCAGCTTGATTCTCACAGCTACTTTGAAAAGTTCTGTGCACTGTATTGAAAAATATTCCCATGCCCACTATTTCTTTCTACATTCTAGTTGTTTCTCTTTCATTTTATTCTTTTATGTGTCATTTGCATATTCTTCTTTAGCAATTGTGTTACTAATATAAATGAGAATGTTTCCTTTTGCCCCTTAGCAATTTGGGAAGCAATCATTGATGATTTGACCATTTTTAATTGACTGTTGATGATTTACAAATGGTGAAGTTGACAATGGAGCCTTACCAGTAGATTGTCTTTCCTAGGAGAGAAACTTTCTTAGCAGCCATAGAGTTTTCTGGGGAATCCAGGTCAGTGAGAAGTTCACAACCCACTATTAGGTTAGTTTTATACTTAGACACATATCAGAGGACAGTTTGTGCCCAGTCAATGCTGTATCTTCTCACTGGTGTATCCAAGTACACTTTACATGGTGTGCAAATTTCACTTTAGACAACACTGGCATATGTTTCCCACATAGGTAGGCATGAAGGCAGAAAGTCTGGAATGGTTTCCAGGGTGGTCGGTTGGCAGTGTTATCAAAGCCAAGGGCTTGCATTGGACTTGTCTCCAGGGAGAGAGGAAAATCTAGTTTCAAATATTCCTTCAACTTTTGTGCTGACCAAGTGTTTATTAATAGAAGTTGAATCCCCAGTGGGATTTTCTTTGGTTAACTGGTGAGCTTGAGAGAAATTACAATACCAAGAGATTGACTGTAAAATAATTATTCACCATGGCCTGCTGGGCAGAAATTTCTCAACTGGCAGCCTCCAAGGCGCCTCAGAGGGAAGAACTCAGGAAAAGGGCAGCGGGAAAGTCTGGTTCTTGAGCCTTGGTTATCAGGTACAGGTGAAACCACAGAGGCCTCTCTGTCAGTGTGGGGCAGAGCGATGATAGCAAACGCTGGAAACATTAGGAATTCTGATCACGAATGCCAGTTATAGTCGCCATTTTCTTATTTGGCTTTAAAAAATATCATCCTATGGGGAAATTCTTTTACCAAGATGCTACTTTTCAGAGAGGTTGGGAAGGCTGGGTGAAAAAAGTGAAGAGGTTAAGGAGTACAAATTGACAAATTGGTAGTTACAGAATAGTCACAGGGATGTAAGTTTCACCATAGGGAATATAGTCAATAATATTGTAATAACTGTGTCTGGGGCTAGGTGGGTACTAAAAAGAAATACCACAGGAACCACTTTGTAAAGTATACGATTGTCTAACCTCTATGCTGTACACCTGAAACTAATACAGAATAATATCGTATGTAAACTGTAATGGAGAAAAAAGATGCTACTTTGCCAACTAGCAAACATCTGGCAGAGGTAACTCCAATCTCAACCAGGTTCAGTGGTTCCATTCCAGTGGTGATAGGTACTTTTCTACCTTGTTCTGTTGAATATAGTAAACACACTTAAAGATGAAAATGTACTTGAATTACACATGCATTTGAAGAGTGGAGGAGGTTCAGTCCAGATAATAGCTGGGGGTTTTCTTCTTCCTTTCTTTTTGTGCAGAGGTCGAGAACTCAGTAATACTGCAGTCCAGGCCAAAATAAACTCTATATGATCTACTACTGATTTCCTTTTAAGTTCCCCTTTTTGCTAGGACGGACTTCCTTTTATTTTACTCCAGCTTGCATTAATCCCAGTTATAGAAGTTTTTTTCCTCTCTCTTTTGCCTCCAACTTCAAACATTTCTTTCATAGGAAACAAGTGACTTAAAAAAAAGACCTACTTACAAAAATATAAAGGACAGCATGACTTTCAGAATATATTTTGGCAGCCTGCAATTTCAGAGTTCACTTCCGAACAGACAGAGTTAGACCGGGAGCTGAAATGCCTACGTGACCACTGTGGTCGCTCTGAGCCAAACCACCTGCTTATCTGATCTCCTCTGGGAATGAGGCGGTTGACACCTACAGTGGTTATTTAATAATTAGATGCACTATTTGTCAGAGGCTGTATATTCTTTGACCAGTGCTGCCTCTTTCTGTGGGTTTTCATAATGAGAGCTGGGTGTTGACCGATTGCCCAAAGAGATCGGAGCCTGAGCATCCTGGGCCCAGTATTTTTAGCTCCAGTTCATATTTTGTCCTCTCCCCAGCAGCAGTTATTGTCATTGCTGTCATTAGCTTCCAGTTGAAAGATTGTGCCAGCCAAGCCTACTGACTGAGCTGCTGGGGACTCCCAGCCAAGAGAAGGCAGGATGTGGTTGAAATTGTGCTGTGATCCTATCGCTGGCCTCAGGAAACCTATTAGTAGCTTGGGGATTTTCTGAAAGTTCTTCTTCCCATCCCACCTTCTCTCCCCTTCTGAGGATTTGTAAGCTGGGCTATCAGGACCACTAAAATCAAGAAGTTGGGCTTCTACTGGCACATTGTCCTTGGTTAGCTCAAGAGGATGTGTTGGGCATCTTGCATCTTGTCACTTTCTGGAGATAAAATAGGTGATGATGTCTTCTTATGTATGTTTCTTTCACTTCCAGCCTCTTGTCTGTATTACTATTACATTATTATTACTATTATTTAAATGGCAATGAGAGGACAAGGCTCAGAGGCCAAATGATGTTTGAAGCTTTCAAAGGGGCTGGGCAGGGTGGGGGTAGGGACATCAGGAAAGTCAGCACTAGGCACTTCTCTGAGCCCAGGTCCTCCTCTGATAAATGGGAATCGTAATTATAACTACCACATACCAGTAAAACTGTTGTGAAGAATATTCGAGATGTATGGAAGTGCTGTGCAAAATTTGATAGGTTAGAAAAATTAAAATATTTTTGTTTGTTTTAATTTTTTTAATTAAATTTATTAGGGTGACATTGGTTAATATTATCATATAGGGACCCATACCTGAAACCTGTATGATCATAAAATTAAAATATTTTATCTGTATAGGCCTCCAAGAGCCATTATTGGAGCTTTACATCATCTCTGTAAAGTTAGATTGATTGAGATTAATATTCCCATTTGACAGATAAGAAAACTGAGGTGCAAAGAACTGAATTGATTTGCTCAATATTTTAAAACTTACAGAGTAACACTGTCCAACAGAAACATAATGCAAGTCAATACATAATTTGAAATTTGTTAGTAGCCAAATAAAAAAAACAGTGAAATTAATTTTGAAATATTCTATATAACTCAATATAGTAAAATCTTATTTCAACATGTGGCACTAGCCATATTTCAAGTGCTCAATAGTCACATGTGACTAGTGACTACCATATTGGACAGGGCAATGTATTTATTAAGCACCTACTAGGAAGATACCTATATGTAAGACATACCTTGTATTTGAGGTATTGGGGGCCAAGAAAATGTCCTTAAAATATTTTCGCATTGGGGTACTTCCATACAGAGACCCTTAGGAATCTATTGGACTTTTCTTTAATTCTGTGAGAAAATTCCTAAACAATATTTGGGACTCATTAACCCATATGTGTAAACTTCTGTCATTCATCTTGTTTCTCAGCCCTCTTAGAAATTAGGACTTTCTTAGTTTTATGCAGGGATGAAATAATTTTAGAAAGATCACACATCCCCATCGGGCCTAGGAAAATTGTCAGCTGGAGCTGAGTGATTCAACTGGTGAACAATTTTTAAAAAATTAGTGACAAATATATAGAGCTGCCTGGGGAATACAATGCCTGTTGGATGAGATTAATGGCAAGATTAATAAATGGATTGCTTGATGAAAAGGCGCAGGAGAACAAAAACCAGTAGAGATTGTGGAGGAGGCTGCTTATTAATGAACTGTCAACCCAAAGAAAGTTCAAGAAACTCTCCTGTGTTTAAATGCAGCAGGCTGGCACTTCTAATAAAAATTGGGGTCCTTCAGGAATTAATTACACTGGCCTTACAGCAAGAATTCATGGAATTGAGAAACGTAGTGGCACAGACCAGCACCGACCGCTGCTGCAAACCGGGAAGCTGCAGGAGAAACTAATCATTTTTTTCTCATTGATATGTAGGATATTGTAGTAGCATAATAGCCAGTCAGACATGGGGATGAATGATGGGGTCCAGACATACACTGACTAATGAAACTACACATACTTTGAGATTGAAGTCACTTCTCATTTCATATGTAAAATTCACTTCTGGACTCTGATTTCCTCCTTATCCTGTGTTATCTTCAAAATAATTTTCAGAGTGATTATATGAGAGGCAGATGTACTCTACCTTGATTTATCAAGCTGTGCCAAGAGAGAGCACAGTATTCATTTATTCCGAGTTGCTGTAATTTCCCAGTTTGGTTGGCCTGACTAAACCTTCTCATAATTAAACTGGTGTTGCCCCGGCCCGATGGATGAAGGCAACCCAAAGGAATGCCATGACAAGACGGAGATTGTCCAGAATTTGCAATCTGATATCGCACATTAGATATTGAAAGCTCCTTACCCTTTGTTCACAGTCTGCCGTGAAGGTGGACCGAAAATGTTCTGTAATGTCTGTAATGTGTTTAGACCAAGGGCTCCCAAACAAACCATTCATCTCTTGGGTTTCACATTTCATAATTAACCATTTCAGTTCAGGACTAAATTCATTCTTAATAGAGCTTGGATATTTTAGGAGATGCCTGATGATTGATTTATCTTCTAGTTTTCTAGGAATGAGATAAATAGAAAATGAATGAATTAATGAAAATTAAAAAACCTGTAATAAAGATGCTTAAAAGGGTCGAACATGCAGGATACTTGGGGGTGTTATTTCAGGACATGGCTGTGATAGCTCTTCTATAATGCATTTAGAGTAATGTTTAAAAACACATGTAATAGAGATGTTTATAACAGTTGTATGTGCAAAGTAAAAGGGAGAGAACAATTTGTGATTCGTTTACATGATAATGTATTTCTCCTTTGGGGTCTTAATGTAAGTGATCAGCCATTGTTTTCCCTCATCCAGCTTTATAAAACTGGGTTGGAGGCTTTTAGAAAAAAAGTTCCATTTGACTTATACCAGGATTAAAAAATTTATAGAAAATGATTCCTTTCGTGGTGCATAGTTCATCCTCTTTCTCTTCCTTGTCACGTCCTTGAGTTTGAGACCATCCATCACCCATCACTCTGACGTTTTAGGCCCTCATAATCCACATGATACTTATCCTTTTGATTAAAACAACTTAATGGCCTTTTCACGAATAATTAATCTGCTGTCTTTTTACTTTCAGCTCCAGGCTTTTAACTTTAATGTTGAGTTATCCAGCCTGTGTTGCCTTTCAAAGTTTCACTCCCTTTAGCCTCTTCCCTTCCAAGGTTTAATACCTCTTTAGAAACTTCAACGTTTACTCTATACTAAGGTTTTTTAAAGGCTTCCAAATTACTCTCACATCCTTTCTGCTGTGTGAAGTGAATAACTGTGCAAAGATCAGTGGGGTGAAATGAAAATTATTTTAGACTTGTGGTCTGTCATTCTGGAAAACATGGAGGCTTCCACTGTAAAGGGAAGTTAAAGCTCCATTGCTGTTTCAAGAGACAATGGCAAATTTATTTTTATTTTTTGTAATTATGAGTTTCTAACTCTGGATGTTTTTCTAACAGTGACAATTTATACCAGATGACCTCCCAGCTTGAATGCATGACCTGGAATCAGATGAACTTGGGAGCCACACTAAAGGGGTAAGGTCTTCTCTATTCCTTAAACAGGAACTTATACCTATTTGAACCATTTTAAAGGTGCTTATAACTTATGAAAAGAGTACATTTTTAGAAGAATAGGCAAGGCTCTTTGTACAATCAAGGTGTTTTCTCCCACCCCCAGTTGATGGGTTGTGTTCAAGTATTAAATTTTCAGGCATAGACATAAGGGATATTTTTGTCTGGAACGAGGGAGTTGAGAATATTTGGAGAACTTAATATGGCCTTTAGTTTTGCATTTTTTAGAGTTCTTCGAAGTTGTGTCCATTCAACCTCATTTAATGTTTATGTTTTGCTAGTGATATCACAGATGTTAACTACTACTCTATCTTATCAAAAAATGCTTTGTGTTTGCAAAGTTCAGGATCTAAATTTATATTTGAGAGATGATGATTTGGACAATCCAGACTCAAAGTTCTCAAACCTGGTTGCTTTCAGTTTTCTAGCAAGTCTGAGTTGATAGGCAGTTGGATATGCACTCATCAAGCTCCTGCGATATATGAGGCCTAGCATTGTTAGAAATAAATCAAGCTCAGGGACTTAAGTAAGTTCCCAAGTTCACATTGTATGAAGTGGTAGAACTGAGATTCCACGCCCAGATCTGATTCCAAAAGCCCAGGTTCTTCCCAGCCTCCCTGTGGGGCCTTTCACCCCACCCTCAGCTCCAGTGGGATTGGGACTTAGTTCAGCACTCTGGACTAGACAGCTAGTTTCACATCTCTGTGTATTTAGTGACTTCTCATTGGATTCTGGGTTCTGGGAGGCTTTTAGAGCCATGCATGCTCCATTCCCCACCCCCCGCCTCTTCTTCTCTTCTAGAGTTGCTGCTGGGAGCTCCAGCTCAGTGAAATGGACAGAAGGGCAGAGCAAGTGAGTGGAAAATGCGATGATGGCAAATGCATAGGCCTTGTTGATGGTGCCTGGGGTGTTGCAGGAGTTAGGACTGACAATGGGTAATCAGGGTAGCTATCCTTGCACTGGCATGGGAAAAATCTCTCTCCCTTTCTGCGTCCTGTCCTCTTATTTATCGAGATCATGCTGTGGATGAAAATGGAGGTGGTGACATTTCTCATCAACATACTCCTGGAAAACAATTTTTAGAATGATGCAGTAGGAACCCTTCTCATTTCCTCGTGAATGTTTCATAAAATACTAGATTCGAGGCATTACATATATTCCTGTTAGATCAATCAAATCTTTCGGTCATACTTCACTTGCATTTTCTCCATTTATCTTTAAAGCTCTAAGGGAGAACTTAATTTTTACCCCAAGTCTATGACCAGATTTTCTACAAAGATTTTTTCATTCCAAACATCTGTGCCTTCCCCAGTCCTGTAGCCTGCACCCTGGGAAATTTCTATAACTATATCTTTTGATTTCATTTTCTCTGCTTGAACACCCGAACCGGCCTTCCTCTCCTCGTCCTTTTTTGGGCTCAGTTATTTTTTTTGGATAACCCTTCAATAATCAGCAGAGTTGTTTTTCATCAACTGTTAGATGCTTCTCTCTACTTTCACCCCCAATTTTTCTCTTTTATTCAAATCTCCATTTCCTTTCTGTAGACCCAAAAATAAGAAACTTCCTGTTGATTTGACACTTTTCTCTCCCTACCTGCATCCAAGAGGCTGCTGACAATTTCAGCATTCCATCCTCTGCCTACTCTCAACCTGTCTTATATTTCTTGGTTTCTTGGTCTCACTCTTTCTTTCTGGATCTCTTCCTTTTCTTCACTCAGAATTCAGTAACTCCACAAACTAAATGCCAAGAATAGAAAGAACTTGATTGTGAAGTGTGTATGTTACCGTTTAAAAAATATCTGTATGTTGAGTATGTAGTTTGCTTGTTTGTTTTTTTGTTTGTTTGTTTTTTGCTTAGTTACAAAATTTATAAATGAGGAATCTTGTCATCTATATGAATCTGGGTCTTTCCATAGTTGAGATAATTCTGATATCTTTGAAGGTCTTTAGACGTGTGATATTAGTCACTTGCTGGAGAGTCAGAAGCTATATTGTAACAATGAAGCACAAAATGTGAATAATTTGTTTTTATCAATTCTACATAAGAAAAAGAAAACAGCCGAAACCGGTTTGGCTCAGTGGATAGAGCGTCGGCCTGCGGACTGAAGGGTCCCAGGTTCGATTCTATCTCTCTCCTTTCCTCTCTGTAAAAAATCAATAAAATATATTTAAAAAAAAAAAAGAAAAGAAAAAGAAAACACTAGCAGAACTTTTTTTCATTGGTTTGGTGCTTACATGCTGAAAAAGGATTTCTGAAATCCAAATGTATTTCTAGAATACTAACTTCAGAGAGCTGTCTCACAAGGATCAAATGGCCCCAATAGATAGTCCTACAGAAGAGCCAACTCTTTGGAGAGTACAAAAGGTGTACAAGTGTCTAATTGACGAACATCTCTCACACTGGATTTGTCCTTTCCGAACACAGTGTAAATTAACTGATGTCTGCTTGCATTTGTGAACTGAGCATTTATCTAAGGATGGATGTTAACATTGTGGGGCCTTGTGTCAATGGCTTTACATATGTTTCCTCTTTTGATCTCATGACAATCTTAGGTTTATGGTTATGTCCATCTTTCAGGTGAGGAGGCTGGAGAGATTAAGCCACCTAACCAAGTCCACAGATGGAGTAAGTGGCAGAGCCATGTTGGAACCCACCTCTGTCTGACTCCAGATTCTGGGCCCTAGATTAGAATTTCTTGAGCTTTTTTTTTTTAAGCTTTTTTATATTGTGACCACAGTAGAATTACCGTTTACACTGAGTTCCAATATACACATGTGAGTGTGCGTGCACACGCACACTCACACACACCACACAGATTTTCACAAATCAGTACTTACCCTTACACCATGCTGTGCATGCTGATATTTTTATACATACTGATATTTTCTACTTTATTCCATATCATTTTTTGAAATGCTGGTGCTGATGTGTCATGACCCACAGGTTGCCCCTCTTTTAGCTCTTAAAGAGAACGACTCCTTAGCTCTTTCCTCCAAGCCCATGAATATCCCGTGATGTGTAGATTGATTTTAAAACCGCTGATGTGTCATGACCCACAGGTTGCCCCTCTTTTAACTCTTAAAGAGAATGACTCCTTAGCTCTTTCCTCCAAGCCCATGAATATCCCAGAACTGGACTCAACTGAATCTGTTATTCCAGTAGAAAGTTTGGCTTTTCTCTGGGAGGAAGGGGGGTGGGGGGCGAGGAGACATAATCTGGGTAGGGGTCATTATTTTCTGTGATACCAAATTTACTTTCTTTGGTCATGGGTATGCAAACACTGTTAATATGGAAAATACATTTGAGAAGAGATATTTCGTAAAGAAAAATAAAGAGAAATAACCGTCTTTTGCTTTAATTCATAACTAGTGTCTTGACACTATTTGAAATCAGTGGTAAGAAAAACCATGGTGACATGGTAGATATACGACAGGAAGACTGGAGGTTCGACTCATGTTTTGGAGAAGAAAGATAGAATTCCCACATGGCTCATAAAAATGAGGCATTATCAATTTTTTATTAAAAGATCATGTACTTCAGGCTAACCCCCACTAAATATTTGTTCATGTCTTCTTTCCTTGAAAATGTTACTTTTATACAAAAAAGAATAGGCTTGTTTCCTCATGTCCTAACAAGTCCACGGAGGCGTCTTTCATTAGACATCAGGGAGCAGTGATGTTCTAATGGGCGGGGCTGGGATTTGAGGGAGAGCGTGGGGAAGATGAGATGAAAACATGATAGAATGGGGAAGGGAGGATACTCTTGCCACTGATTTACTCTTGTCTCCTTTTCCCTCTACTCGTTTTCTAATCTCCCCATGCCCATTGGGATCAGAATTAGTTTTATGATCTCCAACAGGAGAATATTGTATTTCAATTTTAAGTCAAAGAGAAGAGACTTTATGAAACCACTCTCTTTACTCTGACCCTTTCCCTCACCCATAAACGAATGAAATTAGATTTTTAAAGTGGGTCACTCAGAGAAAACATTGCCGGGGACCCTTTCTGAGGATCAGTCCACCTTTATGAATAATTCTGTTTATGGTGCCTTGTGTCATCTGCATTTTATTCCTTGAAAAAGACTTTCTGTGTGTTCTTAATAAGGCTGCTGATTTTTTAAGGCCGCTCACAAGCTTTGGCTACTCTGTTAGCCTCTGTTTTGTCTCTCCTGAAGAAAATATCCTGCAAAGTGGAGAAACACATCAACCTTGACTGTGGTCCAAGTTTTTAAAACAAGGAAGAAGTTATTCTCCAGGGACATGGGCAGGGGGAATGGGAAATCGAACACAATAGAAATGTTAAAGGAGTGCTGAGCGAAATGAATGTCCCGTTCCTGGCCCAAGAAGCTCCCAGACGGTTGGGAACACACAGTATTTGACCTGTGGATGCTTGAAAGGAAAAACGAAAGACTCGTGACGAGTGATGTATGGTGCAAACGAAGCTGCGCGGGTTGGTAGGGCCAAGGCTGTCGAATCTGGAGAAAATCCCCACTAGACGTGGTCTCATCCCCGAGAACCTGTGCCAAGAGAGATAGCTGTCTTCTCTGGCCGGGAGTTCCAATACGCAGCCCGGCACCTTCCCTCTTGTGAACAGAAGGTACTCATCCAAGAGATTTACTTCTTGAAAATACATAGCCTGCTTTTTAAGTGACTCCTGGAGCATGAGATGCAAAAGCAAAGGTGGAGAGAAGCAGCTCTGTGAATATCAGCGTTCTATTTTTTCATTTCTTAAAAGAATAATTTATTGATTTTTCGAGAGAAGAGGATGGGAGAAGAGAGAAACAACAATGCGAGAGAGAGCACAACACTGTTTGACTGCCTCCTGCCCACTCCCCACCGGAGATTGAGTCCACAACCCGGGTACGTGCATTTTATTCCTTGAAAAAAGACTTTCTGTGTGTTCTTGAACCGGCAAGCTTTCTGTGCAACGCCCAACCAACTGAGCCACACCTGCCTGGGCAATATCAGCATTCTTGAGTGTACTCCTTCTCCTCCACCCCCAACAAGAAGTTAAGTTCTCCTTTTAAATAAATGGTTACATTGATGCCTGTATGCAGGCAGTTCTTTGCCTTGCATTGGCCTTGGCTAGGGTCTGTTAGCCATAGCATAGAACAGAGCGCAGGACTCCTGGGCTTGCAGGATGTAGGTGGATTTAGAGCTGTGTCCCCTGTTCCTCGCAGAGTGGACCACTTCAGTTGCTTCTTTTCCTTCACTTCTCACTTCCCTGCTGCTACGTTCTCTTCCCTCATTGTTCACCTTTCCCACCCTTTTCTCCTTAGGCATATATTCAATTGATGTATTTAATTTTTAATTGGGTATGAAATATGTGTAGATTATAGAACAGTTAGAAAATATAAATATATAGGGGAAGAAATTAGCACTCCCTCCAGTAGCCCAGTGAAACTACTATTAATATTATGTTGCATATGCTTTTAACCTTTTCCCTGCATACATATACATTTTGTGTCATTTTCTTTTTTATAACAGTTGATGATCTGCTAGATCTAATTCAGCAAATGCATAATCTACAGGCCATTGCAATGTTCTGTGTTTCAACCTTCATTGACTTTTTGAAACTGTTGTCAATGTCTTAAAAAAATACTTCACTTGAAAAATATTTTGGGCTTTATAGACTTACCATCTCCACACTAACTATTTCATTTTAAATCAAGGAATTATTTTGTTCTTGTAAAGGTGAGGAAAAGTGACAGGTTTATTCAGATCAAGAGGAGAAAGGAGCTTAGCAGGAAAGAGAGAAAGAGAAGGTGGTTATGAACTTAGAAATGAGGAACATGGTGGATTCAGCGCAGGAAGATGAGGTGGGGTTAATGAGGACTCCAATCTGTTGGTAAAG